TCCTTTGTTTGGCTTTTGAAATGTCAGACGTTTACTACAATAGTCTTTGTAGGATGGCTTTCCAAATCTTTCCTTAAATTTCACTGCCACTCCTGCAGTCATGCTTCGGTTACAATCTAGATCGCCTGATATACAGTGGGAAAAACCTATTTCTTCACAGTGGCTAAAATCATCAAAAACTTGTTTCATATTTGCCTCAATAACATTAATTTCTTTTGGGGACTGTTTAGCATGACAAGGATGGGTCTCCTGAATTTTTTTAATTGTTTTATGAATTTCTTCACAGAGAACTTGTTTGCCTTGTTTATTGAGGTGTTGACCGTGCTGGGTAAAGTGGAACCTTTTAAACCTTTTGCAATTTACTAAGTTAACTTCTTTGGTACTCAGATTGAAATTTACTCTTCGAACTGACTTGTTTATTATATGTTGAGGCGGAAGGTCAAACCTGGGGAACAGAGGAACTATTGCAATGTTGGTGTGGTCATTTAAAGTCGTATATTCTTGAAAAACACTTGGCATCCTTTCAGCTGGGTCGACATTTTCATTCAGCATTTGTTCTACACTATTTGAGCCTGCGATAATGATAAGAACATCTTTATTCTTCAAAGTTTTAACATGCTTTTCAGTATTTTTTAACACATATCCAAGCGGCGCCCCTGGGGATGTGGTAACATGTACGTTGTTGTTTGATGGTAAACTATTTATAAGAATTTGATGTAGGTTCTTCCCATGACTGTCAGCATATATAGAAACCCTTACTTCTTCGGCATTCGCAATGTTCTGTACAACATGTTTTAATGAAGAATTCTTCTGTTGCTTAGTTTTACTTACTTTGGTGCTTTTGTCAGTTTTTTTGTCTTTTGCATCCTTAGCATGTCTCACACATGAAGATGGTGTAGAACTCATTTTATCCTCTCCTGTTTGTTTGGAAACCGGCATAGAACTACATTCTTTACTGCTTAGCAAATCAAAGTAATCAAAGTAATAATGTTGTAAAAGGTTTATCCTGCGTGGCAGTATTGTTGGTTTGTTTTGCATTTGTATTTACTTTGTTTTTCCTTGGTACTTCCCTCCACTGATCGACATTTTTGGATATACAAAAATTGCTATTTAATGTTCTATGTGCATCATTAGTACTCGTTGGTAAGTTATTCTTAGTAGAGTGTTGCTTTTGTTGCCTCGACAAAGCTTTTATAGTGTTGTAGTATGAATTAACGGAAAAATCTTCATTAAACATTCCGTGATTAAATTTAAACAACTTATTTTCAACCATATTGCACACAATCTCAGTGTTATGGATAACAAAAACACCACACTCGACACCTCCCTTCTGTTGTAGACACTTCGCTTCTGTAACGTGACAATTGTCGAGCAGTTTGAGGCCCTGGGAAAGCTTGGAGGCGAGTTGGATAGCATGAATATGGTTGACACCAGTCACAGAATCATAGTGGTAAAAATTGGCTGTAGAACTGCAGTACACCAGAAGTGACCAGTGACTACCTCCACTGTATTGTTTCCCATCATTGTTTACCACTGATATGATGTAGTCATAATTGTGTAGGTTAAGATTGCTGCAAACTTGGTGAATTGTAATTGAGTCATCCTCCACCTTCATAAGTTGACTAACAGACGGCGGTAGAAGAAAAACATTCCCTGGGTGAGGTTGACTGTCAAACCATGACTTTATCTCTTCATCTCCCAACATATACCACAAAGCTGTTATGTCAGTTCTGTCACCGGCATTTACTCTACTGTAGGTTCCGTTATAGTCTTCTATGGTCGATTCTAGATCATTTAGTTTTCTTTTAAGCATCTTGACATCATTCTCAAGAGCCAATTTGTCCTTAGTTAATAGGTCAATCTTAGACAATCCTTCCAATTTATCTTTTTCTAGTTGAAGTATTAGGTTGTCTTTAAAACTGTTGTCTTTCTGCATCTTGCTTTCAATAGAACTTATGAGCTTTGTCACTTCAATTTCCTTAATATTATTCTGTTCAGTTAAGCTCAACATTTCTTGTTGTAGTTTATTTATCTTGTCTTCAAGCTCCCATTCACGCTGGCTTTTTGAATTCCTTAAATCATGAATAGTTTGTTTTAGAATGTCATTTTCAGCTAACAATATATTCCCTGCTTCTGCTGCTAGACTTAGTGATGTCTCCATATCCTCTTCTTCTTTAAAGTTATTTAGTTTCTCCTTTAAATCACCAATTTGTTTGTCAGTACTTTTCTTGGCACATTCTAAGTTACAACTATTACACTTCCAATCCAGTATTTCACCCTTGTAGATTTTTTTGTAATCAGAATTACTCATTTTGACACAGCATGTATGAAACCATAGTTTACAAGGTCCATTACAGCACACTGCTTTATTTCTCACACCAACGCCACACCTTCCACAAGGGTGTTTGGACATTATACTTTTAAATTGGTATTAAATATACTGTTTGATTATTTACTGAGTTATAGAACTGTTATAATAAAATAAATGAATAATCGATAGACATTTGTCACATTGATAAGAACATTAATTCACATCAGCAGGAAATTATTTACTATCCATCCAGTGAAGTAGCTCTTAAAGCAAGTTATGCAGTGTAGTTGCAGTTATTGCAGTGCAGTTATTGCTGAGATAATTTAAACCTCAATTAAAACTTATGCAGTTTTCCTTAATTATTTTAAATCATTGCACATTATGTTATTGTTCAAAAAAATAAAATTATAGAATATAAGTTGTCAATATTCAACAGCAATAAAGCTTGAGAAAAACAAAATAGGCTTGAAAAAGGTGACAGCTAATTCCAGATAATGTGCAACAATGATTTAAAGAGTTCTATTGGCAATGTAAACACAGCTGGAGATACTGTATCCAAGGGTCAGTTCCAAGTGATAAGCTGTCTAAAAGTTAGTGATGGGCAGGGGGAGTGGAGGACCAGACGTCATCAGCAGAAACCTGTTGCATGAGCAGAAACCTGTTGCATGAGTCAAGTGTAGGTTACTTCCTGTTTCTTGAGTGTATTATTTAATTTAGTTTTGTAAAATATTGCAATAGCCCAATGACCAAGTGTTAACAATTGATAACAATTAATCAGCTTTATAAAGAGTGCATTATATGGTCTTGCAGCTTTCCACAAGAAGAATTTTCAGTTATTGTTCAAAACATGTGCTTTTTGCTCAGAATTAATGTGAGTATTTTCGTAATTACATTTTAACTCAGTTTTAATTATCCATTAAAAGTCTTATGCTTCCACTTATTAAGTAATACTTTACCTATAGTTTAAGCTATTACTTTAGTCACAGAACTTATAATAACCATCAAATTACTGAAATTAAAGACATCAAAATTTACACATCAACAATGTTGACCACTCAGCAGACGAAATGGATACGAAAAGTGTCCATGTAAGCAGTGTGTAGCAATGTGTCCTGTGTAAGCAGACTTGTTTGGATACGAAGGGCTACAATAATTATGGTCAGTTTTGAAAATTTTGCCCTTAGGGGTAGCGGGGGTAGGGGGTAGCTAACAATTTTCAAATAGCAAGTACAGTCTAGTTTGGTATCATTTTGTAGGTCTTGACGAAACATAACAATTAACATAAAGAAAATAGAAATCGGACCATTAATAACAAAATGGCAGTTCAAAATTACTTTAAATAACCATTGCCTCAATCAGTTTTAGCTGCCATTTTGTTATTAATGGTTCGATTTCTATTTTCTTTATGTTATTTGTTATGTTTCGTCAAGACCTGTAAAATGATACCAAATTCGACTATACTTGCTATTTGAAAATTTTGAGCTTCCCCTACCCCTGCTACACCTAAGGGCCAAATTTTCAAAACTGACTATAATTAATTATTGTAGCCCTTCATTTCCAAACAAGTTGCCGCAAACCGATTTCAAATATCTCAAATAGTTAAAAAGCTAAAGAGGGTGCAAGTTAATTTTTTTGCCACCCTCATAGTTATTTGGATTTGAAATGTTTTAGGGCGCCATTTTGTTATTAGTGAGCCGATTTTGGTTTTCTTGATGTCAATGTTTATGTCTTTTCAAGAACTGTAAAATGATACCAAACTTGACTATACTTGTCGTTTGAAAATTTTGAGCTACCCCTAAGGGCAAAATTTTCAAAATTGGCCATAATTATTGTAGCCCCTCATATCTAAGAAGGTTGCCGCAAACCAATTTCAATTATCTCAAATGGTTGAAAAGTTAAGGGGGGGTGCAAGTTACTTTTCAGCCACCCTGTATAATAGTTTTGCCAGCACATCTGAAAATATGCAAACCAACTGCTGTTCTTTATGTAATAAAGTTTCAACTGACTACTATAAGATCCCCGTGCGTAGAACGGGCACACAGCTAGTTAACATTAAAGTTGGTCTAAAAATGAGGGAGGAGTTCTGTTCACAAAAATCGGCTTAACTTATTATATAGATATCGATAGATTGTCTTGGAGTATATAATTAAAGTCTGCCTAAGTTATTTTAATAGTTAGGAGTAGGATTTGAAAGAGACAGGTAATCGAAAAACTATTAATAGAGGTGGGTGATAGCCTCCAGACAGGACCTCTATACCTATGATGGCTAAGGACTACAACTCTCAACCTCCAGTTAAAGTAAAAATCAATGACACTTTTAATTAGTTTGTTTTCGGTATTATTTGGGTTGGTTAGAAATAATATCATTAATTTTATTTTTTTTATTTAAAGAGGTTGGCGGCCTCTTTCTTGCATTTGTCTGTCTTCATAGATTAACCGCCCATGCGTGGATCGTATCCAGCAAAGCAAGGAGTGAGCCCGCAGGTACAGTACAAAGGTGATCTGTACCGATAAAATGTTTTCAGGCAGTGACAGGATCCGAACCCACAACTGCCTTGGGCCCGAAGTCCGTGATGCTATCGACTGAGCCACCGACTCGCTAATTGTTGTTGTTGTAATTGCTTAAATCTTGTTTGCCTATATAGATTTTTTTTAATACCATGTTGCAGAGTTTTAATAGTGTGTTTACCTGATTGCTGAGGTATAGAGTCCAGCAGCCTGCTGTGGAAGGTAGGCACGATGTCACAGTACAGAGAGAAGATGTTGCGAGCCGTGTAAAACAACTGAGCTGCACACATGTCTGTGTTGTGTATCACCTCAGCCAACACCTCCTCCACCAGAGCTAGCAGTTCATCTGTGCTCTTGCTGCAGCACATTCACAATAGTCACACACTAACACATGTAGGTGATGATTGTTCATACCTAGCCACAACTAAGTTCTAGTTTTACCAAGCTGTTTAAAATCTTTAACTGTCCGTTTTTCGTCATATGTCTGTTAAAAAAATGCCCATATGCCGCCTTTTTTTAAAAGCTTAACACATTTAAAATTATTCCATAACCAAATGATTTTGATACCATTCAAAAGACGAGATTTAAAACTTTAATTTTCATTCTAAAACGAACCCATAGCAGTAACAGTTCAATTTTAAATCAAGATGACTGTAAGCAATTTTCATTAATTATAATAATACAATGACTGTTCCTTGCATTTTCATATTTCAAAATCTTGTACATGTAATGGAAAACCAGAGTGAGTTTATACTGTATGTTTTGACACAGTAATACGCTCGTTCGCCGTGATGCCTAGAATGGCCACCAGCGTAATACACTAGTATGGGACGAAATGTTTTTAACGGTGAAAAAACTGCTTATAATCAACTCTGATATGAACAATATATACCATTCAAAAGATCACATTCTGAACTTTCATTTTATTATATAAACAAACCCTGTAGCAGGTATATAACAATGTCACGACGATTAGAAATCAAATGAATTTTTGGCGCGGCACGACTTTTGCAGCTGACACTTGGGAACTGTCACAACACGACTTGTTTGGCATTACCCTGCTCGGGTAATTTTTGTCTTGGGATGTTGCGGGTGGTACCACTCAATGGCCATTGATTTTATCTTCATTGTGGTATTGATATTTAAAACTAAATATTCATCGCACAACAGGTACGATTTTATGAAAACAGCCGTTTTCCAAATTTATAACAAATGGCCAACCATCGTAATACGCTAGTAAGGAAAATACAAATTACATATCTATCTATTATATTATTAAAGTGGTACAATCAAATTTTATGTAAACGGTTAAGGTCATTTACCAAATAAAAATATAGGCATATGGCACATCAAAATGAAGCTTAGAGTGTGTAGATTTGCCGAAAAGTATTGATATGGACAAATTTCCTAAGGGCTCTGCCCCACAGTCTAATTTCCAAAGGGCTACCCCTGGCATATTTCAAAAGTTAAAATAATATAATTCAATTTAGTTCATGAAACAGCTGGTCAGTGCAATGAATTGGTGTTTGTTTATTTACTAGAAAAATGAAGATTGAGGAGGGTTATGTTTGGTTTTAAAGAAAGGTTGTATAAGTTTTGTTTAAGTATTGCTCAAAGTTTTCATTTTGTAATTTATATAGTAAGCTACATGGAAAGAGGCTTGACTAAAATTGAAGAATTATGGTAAAACATGTCATTCATGAAGCAGCAATATGAAGAAATTGATGCTAAGGTATGTGTCCATATGGAGGTATGTTCTTTTGGATCTATTAACATCAAAAGTAGGGGTTTGAAAGTAGGATTACACTTTTTAAATCAGTTTATATTTTCAAACTAAATCATAGAGTTGCTAAAACACACATCAGCACCACTTGAATAGCTCTCTAGGTCACATTTTCTTCCCGTTGCAAAGCACGGGTATAGCAGCTTGTACTTATTTAATACGCAAGCAGGTTTTTTGTGACAATTACTCCTCCGAAACTACTGAACCAATTGACATGTTTTTGGTGTCATTGGAAAGAGCGTAACGTGAAGTTGTGCAGGAAATTTTCTTTTTAAGGAAATAATTAGAGAGTGAGGCCCTGGGGCCCTTTAAAGTTTCATATTTATCCATAAGATTAACATGGGAAACAAAATTTGTTATGGAACTCCAGCTGTTGTCAGAAATTAAAAGTGAAATATTTATTGATGGTATCCATGGTAACAAAGAACAAACCCACAAAATTTAAAAATTTAAACAAGCAGAACTAACTGTCAAATTAATTTTGATTTCACAATTCCACTCAGCTGGTTCAAACATATTAAATACTGCATGATTATTAGAACAGGAACGGTAGGGTTCATAAACATTAATAAAATATTTCACTCGCCCGAATCATTTTTGTCTATGCCCGAATATAAACATTTAACATTGATTAAATGGAACTGTCAAACTATATGTTAATGTCATTAGTATGGAATTCTTTCAGTTACATCATTTGTTGATCGAGTTTGTTTCAATATTTTTGAACTGCTGTAATGATATTTTACAGGAATAATTGTTAGATAAATTCATGGATATAAGTAATAATTCAGATTCTTCAATCTTTGCTGTTATTAAAATTGTGTATCCGCAGCAAACCTTCAGACTAAGCAAATTTCCATTTACCTGGCTTAATTTATACAAAGATATTCCCTGAAAATGGTCATTTTTTTCCTGTTTAAATAACATTAAGTTAATTTTAATATGAGTACTTAGGTTTGCTGCTACAGGGAAGGTAGGTGTGTTTTTGTTGAAATGTTGATAGTATGTTGTAAGTATGATTTTATTGGTTTGCAAATCCTGTAATACTTAAAAATTGCTCGTATTCGAGCAACATGTACACATGTTGTACATGTACATATGTGTTTCATTAGTTGTCGTACGTATTTTAATTTAGTTATAAGCACTTCATATACAATAAGACAATTAAACGTTACGGTACTTAAATTATAAATAGTCAAAGGCAAGACAACGTCTGCCGGGTTCAGCTAGTTATATATAAGGATGTGAAAGTTTGTGTGTTTGTTTTTTGAAGTTCAATTACGCATTAAATACTGGACTGATTGCGCTGAAATTTGGCATAATGATAGCTTACATTCCCGATTAACATATAGGCATATTCTTATCTAAAAAATCCTTTCGGGCTCAACCCCAGTGGCTCTGTAGTTCCCCATGTTAACCTTATGAGTATTCATATTCAAACGGAATAAAAGAATTTAGTCAGCTGTTTCAAATAAAAAGGTTTGTTCTATGATATGCAAAAGCATTACAAAGTTATAAGATTTACCAACAGGGTGCAGCACTATTTTTTTACAATTATGAAAACAGCTAATATAATTTGAACTAAGCACGAACAAAAACTGTGATACTCAATAAGAACCGTCAAAGAAGGATTAATTACAGTTATGTTTATGTTTTTAATCTCATGAATAATTTGTGATAATTTGTGAATTTTTTATTGCTATGCATTATTGTCTATACACTTCTCAATTGATAATTACTCTTTCTACTGTAGGCTGCAATAAAATTTGTCTTTAAGCGTGTAAGCTAGCTGTTCTGAATTATACAGTTTTAACTGGCTACTCCCGTACATAGAACGGGCTAACACTTCGTTTTGCTTATTTTTAATTCAGGATTATTCAGACAAAAAATTAATTTTGACTTTATAAATATACCCAAAAAGAGGTTTAGTATTAGGAAATATCCAAAGGCAAATAAAAAAATATCTGTGTGACTTAGTTTTAAATATCAATATTATTACTGTAACAATATTAGAGCCAGTCATTTAAAAAACAGATTAATTATTGATACATTGATATTATGTATTACTATAACAGTAAGCGCAAACACCAATCAACATAAGATAGTCAATTCAATTTGTGTCAGTTAGCAATGTGATTTGGAGGGTTGCTAGCCCGGACCGCGGATACAATGGTCCGTGCCCGTGCCAGGCCTCGCGTATACGAGAAGCAGTGATGCAGTGTGTGGCTTGATGAGGGGTGAGGAGGGACAGCTCAAACACACACCTACAGCGCTGCCTCCAAACGGACATCCAAGCGCGCGCGGTGGCGACTTGTAGAACTACTGCTCCTCACCTTTAGACTAGCCTAGCGGCCAAACGGCCTTAATGCAGAACCTGTCCCACGAAAGTTAGAAACCCAAGAATAAATTTTTTTCTTATCGGGAACGGGGTCTCGTCGTCCGAGCGCAAAGCGAACACGAAAAGCACGTTGAGTATTAATAGGCGAACCGCCATTTTGAATAAAATCTTCTACTACGAACGCGCGATGTTCACCAGACCACGCCATGGCGTACACTGAAAACGACACGTAGGCAGCTACTCACGGACGCGCTCCCCACCACTCTACTCCTTCTACTGTCCACATCACGTTACTTTGTAATCGGGGAGTTTTTTTCTGCCGGACCCTGTATTATATCATTGACTATTGGATACTTTAATTTTTGTTACTGGCATAGTTGCTGGGCCATAACAGTTGCTATAGCTCAGAATAAATCATTACATCAGTTTAAATTGGTTAAAAAAACCACCTTGGTGTTCAGGATTCTGTTTTGTTTATTTCAGCTTAACTTAGCCAATCAATAGTTTCATCTTACTAATATTATAAATCTAAAAGTTTGTGAGTTTGTACGTGCGTATAAGGTCGGTTCCGAGGCGATCGATGTGATTTTCCACCATGGGTCCGAGGTCCCCGCTGGTTTCGAGGTCCTGGTGCGGGACCTCGGATCCAAATACAACCGAAAACGTTATGTTCGATGCCAGAGAATAATTTAAATATCAATATTAAGTGATTTTGAACGAGACCTCGGAACCCTAATGGTTCGTATATCTGTAGATCACAAGTTAACTATAGTTCTAGATAGCTCCTATAATCGACGATGGTGTAAATGGCTTACTGCAGGCAGGAAAATGATGTTTCTGTACAGTAATTAGTGACCGATAGTACTAAGAAATAATATCATGTGGGTGGATCAAATTTCCCTTTTTTATATATGATGTACTACATGTACTTGTTGTAAGTTAGCGCCCATAATCAACGACTGGTTTAATGAAGGGTTTATGAAGAAATAAAACATATTCCCGTATTAAAATTACTGGCGGACAGAACGAAAATGAACTATATATTATAGTTAATTACTATACTGTTGGTATGGCACTTAAATGGCTACCTACAAGTCTAATAAACTGTCATCTTCCTCGCCACTAAAATTTAACTTAATTCCAGGCGTTGTCCGGGTAGCCGACGACGCCATATAGCGAAAATAAATGGTCGTCGAACTTGCCAAAATGTTCTATACTATAAAAACAATCAGAAAT